ACTTCGTGTTGGTTAAAATGAGATGTATACAGTGGAGAAATGTTCCCCGGAGTCAAACAGAATGAGAAACAGATGGGAAATTATTTGCAAACAGGAACTCTTTTCTTCCCTTGTTTGCCTGCTTTGTTTTGTTTATCCCCCAAAATCCTAACAAGAAACACAAGTAGGATAACACCGCTACTTCCCACTAGCAGGGCTGGAGAAACAAACCCATAGAGCCCTGACGGGGCAGCACGTTCCTCCTGGTGTGAGGTGCGGAGGAAGACATAGGGCTCCTGATTGCAAGGAGTTCCACACAGAGCCATGCAGGGCATAATTCAGTGTACAAAGAATAGCCCCTGTCTTTTAACCAGTCCCATAATGAAGGTTTAAATATGAAACCAATTGCAAACACTTGCAGCCAAGCAAGATGTTATTATGTTCATGGATTGTGTTCATTCGCATTGAAATTACACCTTCAAGACCCTCTCGAAGCACAGAAATGTGTCAGTAGTGGACATACACAAACATGTACAACAATCCTCCTCTGTCATACAAACACACGCACTATTAAAGGGAGGTTTGCCAGAAAAGATTCTTACCAGAGACATTAAAAACTGCTCTCGTATGTTCCTTAGTATTTCTGAAGACTGCATTACAAACACCTTCTTCAAATTCTCCTTATTTCCACCATCCCTGCTTTATCACCCTCTTTTTCCCATTTCAATGACCTTCATGGAATCTGATCGGCCATTCTCATGTTTGCTTGTATGCACTTCCATCCTCCACTCAAAGGCCATTGCAGTGCCTAAAGAGAGGACAGCTAAGACCAAAAATAAGAAGAAAAATGAGAAAAGAAACCATAGTGAGTCCACATCCTCCACCTCTTTTAGATTATTGCTATCCGTGAGACAAACCAAACCACCAACTTTGTATCTTTTCCAATAATTAGAATTAGGAAGATTTCAAGTGATCATAAGCACTCCCTTCCTTTCCTTGCCAATGTCAAATCAAACAAACACGTTTTTTTGCTCAAAGTAATCTGACAAAATCCCCTTTAATTATACAGGAATGCAGCTAAGCAAATCACGACCAAATTAATGATTACACCAAAGGAAGAGTCAAACAGAAAGGCCTTTTCAGAAACGCAGCAGATTCTGTACAACCTCCAGCACGTCGGCATACTTTGCTGTGTGTGGGAGTTGGGGAAATCCCAGCAGCTTTCTATTGTATCTCCTTATTTCTTGGCTTATACCCAAGCAAGTAAATAATCACTGCAATAAACTACATTCATACAAGTGTAGCAGAAACAGACATGAAATCCAACGGATAAGATAGTTCAAGATGTTTCTTGCATGTGGGCAAGTGAGAAGCTCAGAGCTCATCAATGCTTTGTTTGCTCAATGTTTCTTCTACTAACGGAGGCCAGAATTGCACAGGGCAGACCACAAGCTGACCATGCTGCCCCAGTGGGTTTTGTACCAATATGGCAGTGTACTGATGGCTGTAGGTCCCTCTGAAATCCCACCTGTGCAAATGCAGAGCTCCTGAGAGCTTCTTGCACAGCACCACATACATCACTTCCCCATCTGCAAGTCTTCAGGAGGAATTAAAAGGAAGATTTGCTGCATGCAACTATTTGTTCAACCTATGGAATAACTCAATGGGTAAACTTCAAATTCACAAGGCTTCAGCTGCTCACTGCCCCTTCCATCAGTGCAACCCATGGAAGTCCATCATGCCAAAGGAAGCTGCTGTCCCCCCCTGCACCCCCAGCACCATCACTGCACAGGACCACAGAGGTGGGGGGAGGCTGGGCACACACCCAGCCTGGGAGCCCTTCCTCATGCTGAACACCCTGTTGCATTCTAATTAAAAATAGCTCTGAGTGTTTTAAAATACATGTTATTGTACCTTCCTTCTGAGTGAGAACAGGGATGGGAAGTGGGGCTCCATGTCACCCCTGTCCTTTGCCCTCCAGTTGAGCATCCCAAGGACGCCTTGCCTCTCGGCTTGCACTGCACAGTCCAGCTTGACTCCGCAACTCCATGCACAAATGAAGGGATTATGGTGAAACCAAAGTGGATTTTATTTGTAATGAGGAAAATACACTCCAAACTTGATGAAAATCCAAGCTGGAAAAGCCAATTCTCCATTCCCCGTGGGCAGCTTGGCTCCCGCAGGCCAAAGGCCCAGCTGCTCTCTGCTGAAGCCAGCAGTGCTGGGACCCCTCAGGGCCCAACACATCTCCACACCTCCACCCCCACCCAAGTCCCTGTGCAGATGGATGCTTAGCAAAGCAAGGGGACCACCCCTGTGGGACAGAGCCACAGCTATGCACAGCTCCATGACTGAAGGCAGAACACCTGGGGAAAGGTGTTTTAAGCTGATCTGCTCTCAGGAATGTGGCCCTCTGGGACACAAAGCCCAGCAGTCACCAGCGCTGCCACAGAGCAACTGTGAACTGCAGAGGAAATGGGCTGAAGTTTGCTGCAGCGTCTCAGCTCGGTCAGAAATCTGACTAATAATTTTGCCTCGGTTTTCATGCTGTTTTGAATCAAGGGTAAGGCAGCTGTTCACTTTTCTCAGTGATAAATCACTGTTTCTCGACATTTGGGAACGCCGGAGACAAAATAAGAGGGGAAAAAGTGCTTGGGGCAGATTCAATTTTTAATTATTTAATGTTTTCAGATGCTCGGCCCCAAAGGCTGACACCGACACTCAGGCAGATAACACAGGGGGTGCCAAAGCAAGATAAGGGGGGAGGCTGTCACCCTCCTGCAGCTGCAGATGGGCCATGGGGACAATCTGTGTGTGTGAAACGACCTCAGCATGCAAATAACTGCCAGAGCAGGCTGAAGTCTGGGGAGCGGTGATCTTGCTGTGCCCTTCTCTGTGCAGCTTTTACTCGGTGTTTCTCTTCTCCAGGGACAGGAAGGGGGAAGGCACAGCCATTCCTTGCTGCTTCTCCCTCCTGCCCCAGTGCAGCTGGGAGAGGTCGGCAGCTCAGCCCCGGGTCAGGGCTCTCTGATGGCACTGAGCTCCTGGGAGGGAAGCTGAGAAGGAAAGCAAAGCCTCTGCTCCGCTTCCTGCTGTTGTGCTGTTTATTTCAGACTATTCCCACTGTTGGGGAATGGGCCCTTTGCTGTGTGCTCACAAGGAGGTAGCATCAGGCTGGAGAGATAGCAAAATTTGGCTCAGATTCCTTAGGGCCTGATCGCCTCCTATGGAAGCACATAGCAGCACTCCCACTCACTGTCCATCATGGTATTCCTACACCCCCTCCAACTAATGCTCTGTTGCCTTTTTTTCCAGCATTGAAGGAAGTGATGTAAAACATCCCCCAAGGATGCATCTTCCTGGAGGTGAAGGGACCATGTGTGAGTTTTACAGAGGAACTCCTAAAGCAGAGCCCAGGCAGCAGCGCCCGCAAGGTGGGACAATGATGATCAGCACTGAGTTCCGCACAAACATGAAGTGCTGGGTTTGTGCCAGGTGGAAAGCAAGAGAAAGGCCTCACATGAAAACCTGACAGCATCTTAACATGAAGTGTGTATCCCCAGTGTCACAGACCCACAATTTCTTTACCTGTACCCATTTTTTTCATTCATTTGGGGACTGAAACACAATTTTCTGGGTGTTTTGCTTTTTCTGTTTGCTTTCCATTTTGTTTTTCTTTCCTCTTTCCTATTTGATCATTGAAACAGCTTTCACTTTCAGCTTTCAATCACATACACACACACACACAAAAAAAAAAAAAAAAAAAAAAAAGTGGGAAGAAGCATTATTTCAAGGAAGCATTCTAATACAAAAAGCCTCATCTTGATCCAATGCAGAGGCACTCACCAAAGTTGCAAAGACCTGAGGCTGTTTCAGCAGGCCTGAAAAGCCATTCCAATCAGCTATTCAGGCACTTGAACTGACGGCTTATGAATTTCAACACTGTATTATGTGGATTTCTTAATTGATTGGATGAATCTGGAGCAGCCAGAGGAAAGGGATTCTCATCTGGGCAAAGTCCCTGGAAGCCACATCCATAACAAATTGCATTTTTATTGTTACTTCCTGACTGAGTAACACAGACGGAGCAAAAAAGCATGCAGAAATGAGGCACATCGAGTTAAGTCAAAACACAGCAATGCTCTCCTCCCTCATAGGTTCAGTTAGTGTGAATTCCTGGGTATTGGTCAGATTCTGAGAGGTTTTGGGGAGGTGTGAAGGCTGGGTCGGTACCTCACCTCTGCAGGAAAGAGGGTGTTTCATTGATGCTTCACTGATGCTATAAACCAGCAATGACAGGGATAGGACTGTCATTGCCAACACTGCTTCCTTTCCCAGCATAAACTGTTGCACTTTAAAGAAGAGCATCTTCACTGTTTTTATTTACGTGCAGGGCTGTGCTCTCACACCACTCCCTGCTTTCCTGGGTGAACCCGGCTGCCTTCAGATGAGGAACTGGGGCAGGAGGGGATGTGGGAGAAAGGCAAAGGAGAGGTGAAAGAAAGAAGAGAAAGAGGATAACTCTTGACCGGAGGTACGAAGTCCTCCAAGGGGGAACTCCGAGGCCACATACTGCATGTAATGGCCCAGAGAGGGCTGCATAGGATGCAGAAACCGAGGATGGAGGTAGAAAAATCAGAGCGCAACTCTGTTGCCTCTCACTAGACCCGCTTCAAAGCTCTGTGTTCCCATAGTTCACCCAGCGGCACCGAACCCTGGAGCCACACAACACCACAGCCCCAGAGTTCCAACCTCCTGCCCTCCGCCGCCTCTCCTGCGCGGTCAGGGCAGCATCGCGCAGAGCTCTTTCCTCCAGGAAAATAAATAAATAAGAAAACAAAAATAACAGCGCGCACCTTCCCCGCTTTCCACAAGGCTGCGTGCGCTCTTCTAGCAGAAAGAGAACCCCCCCTTCCTTCCCTCCCCTCTCCCCCCCCCCTTTTCTTCCATCCCCGAGCGGAGCCCGCGGCGCCGGGCGGCGGCTTTAAGAGCGGGGGCGGGCTGCGCGGGGCCGCGGCGCGGGCATTCGGCTCCCGGAGCTCCGGAGCGGCCGCCGGGCGCGCACGTGTGGCCCCGGGGCCGCGGAACAGCGCGGAGCGGAGGCGCGGAGGAGGGCGCAGCCCCTCGGCTCTGCCCCGGCCGCGGCCCCCGGCGGGGCGCTGCGGTGTGCATGGCCCTGCGCGGCCGGCGATGGCTGTGTGATGGCCCAGCGCGGGCAGCCCGCACCGCACGCCATGGCTGCCAAAGAGGAGCTGTACAGCAAAGTCATCCCCCGGCGGAACCGGCAGCACCGCGCGGGGACCATCAAACACGGCTCGTCGCTGGAGATCCTGCTGTCAATGGGCTTCCCCAAAGCTCGGGCGTAAGTCTCCGCGCGGCCCCTGCCTCCCCCCCCCACTCCCCTTTTCGTTTTTCCCCGCCGCGGAGATGCGCGCTCGGAGCCGGGCTGGGGGCTGCGCCCAACCGGGGCTCTCCGGGCCGCCCGGGCGGGGATGCTGCGGCCGAGCGGAGCCGTGGGGCCGCTGCGGGTCCCGGGCGCAGGTGGGCTCTGCTGGGGGCAGCGCCGCTGTAAGCTCGGGGTCACCGCGGAGCGATGTTTCGGTCCCCCCTGGCTGAAAGCGGAGCCCGTTCCTGCGCTCTGAGCGCTGCCTGAGCGCTGTGCGTTACACACAAGAAAGGAAAGGAGCTAGAGAAGATGTCAGTAATGCGAAGTGGTAGGGTTTTCTCGTCTAATTTAGCGATGCCCCGCTCTAATTTTCCTGCTCGTGCTTTAAATGAATGAGGCGGCAACCTAATGATAGCTTAATGATTCTCCCGGTTTAAATATAGTGACTCCTAAAGTGGGACTGTGCGTTAGGATGGAAATGAGACCAGGGGGGATTTGGACGTTTCCTTGATCTACTTAAGAGTTTCCCTGTTGTTGTTGATGCCAGTCAGAACTCATTGGTTTCTTTAGACATCCCTGTGTGGTTTTTGTCCATAAATACAGAGATGCACCCATGCAGTCCTAAGGACAAATGTCAGGCTGCTGTGGACTCGCTGGCAGAGCCATCAAGTCCCATGTGTGCTTTCCATTGTCCTACTTACGCTCCTTCTGCCTGTCAGTGATCTGTAGTCATGTACAGAAACCAACGTACAGCACTTACAGACAATGCCTGCAAATGAAGATAGTACAAAACCGGTGACTTCATGCTCTGCGCTTGTTGGGAAAAACAGATGTGCAGCTTCCAGAGTAGCTGGAGAGAGAAGCAGGCTGAGTGTGAATGAAAGTGGCTGTTACCTGTGCAACAGTGCCGTCACAGCTGGCAGGCAGCCCTGGTTGCACCTCGCCATGCGCTGAGGAGCTGTGCTGTGGTTTATATTCCTGCCTAAGAAAACTCCAACATTTGATAAAAATGAAACCAAAGCTTCACGTGTATAGGATAGGAAAGGTTAAACACAGAATGCAAAGCAGAGAGAGGGGCGAAATATCCCCTGCTGCAAGGAATGCTCATTGAAAATGCCACCAGGCAGCAGGGTAAACCATCTGGATACTAAATCCAGGCTACTGTGCTGTAACCCTGCTGGACAACGTGCCTGTCTGCTGGGATGAGTCTGCTTTCCCCATCTGAAGGAGCTTGTAGTGCCCCGTTCCAGCCTGCTGGAAATCCTGCAAATAGTTCATCTCTGAAGTTCACATAAGTAGCAAAACAGAAATAACAGCAGACAACCAGGCTCTGCCACTGAGGGTGTGCTCAGAAGCGTGAGACGGGCAGTGAGGCAGCAGGACCTGTCCCAAGGGGCTCTGCTGCCTTCTAACTCCTGCCACATTGCTGTGCTGTGTAAATGAAGGAGATAGGCAAGTTGCTAAAGAGGCAAAACACCATCTCCCCCAGAGTCACTGTGGCACAACAACCTTAGCAGAGAGCCCCGGTGAGTCTTGGCTCAAAGTTCTCCCACCCATTCTGCATCTCAAAGCCGGGCTAACAGCAAGCAGTGGGAGCCAGGTGAAGCGGGGCTGCAGCTCTGTGCTGGGCAGAAGGCAGGCTGACACTGCAAAGGGGCGACCATCTGCTCCAAAGCCTTGTGACAACACAGCTCCGAGCTGTCAGACTCGTCTGCCAGGCATGATGCTGAGGCCCATCGCTGCTGGCAGCTGCTGGGCTCCTGGCACCTCCCTGGGCTGCATGGCACAGCTGGGCCAAGGGACCCGAAGATGGCATGAGTGCTGCTTTCAGGTGACACCTGGTATTGAAAGCATGCTGAGACACTGCCCAGCACACACACAGCCTAACCTTCAGCCTCCAAATTCCAGCAATTTCAGGTAATTCCTACCGGTCAGAATGAGACCCTGAGGTTTCCCTGCTCTGTCTGTCTCTTTTCCTCTTTCCCAACAACAGCTGCAGTTCAGCTGAGCTGCTGTGAGCTGTGGTGCAGTGCTGTGCAAACTGGGGACATCACCTCTGGATGGCAGTTGCTGAAACCACAGCACTATGTCAGCATTTCGGGCTGTTACTGTGAGAAGTATTTATTGGGCTTTTCCTCTGAGCACAGGTTCATTATTTTTTTTATTTTGTAATTAGCCCATTGCATTACGTACTGTCTAGTCACAAAGGAGACTGTCCTGATCCCAAATAGTTTCTGACTTAAACCAGGAAGGAGGGCAGAGGTGATGCTATCATTGCCATTTTGCAATTTAGGCACTCAGACAAACATTCTACGCAAGGTCACACGCCATCCAAGCAGATCCTCAGTGTCTCAAGACCCTCAATGCAACAACATCTTCCTCTAAAAAGAGATTTCATACATTTCCCAACAGTCCTGTGATGTTGCACTCATTTGTTATGTGTCTGCTGCCAGTGCTCACACCCACAGACCTGGTCTGGCATCTCATTGCTGCATGTTAGTCCTCTTATACGTGCTGACAGCCTTCCTGAGAGCAAGCACAAGGGAAGCACTACGTAGTTTACAGGCCATTGAAACCATGGGGGAACGACCAAAACTATCGCACATGTATGCATAATTAAAAAAAAAATCTATTGCATATTTCATATGTCTGCATAATGCTGAACATGGGAAAATGTAAGAGGTGGATGGCCACTTCTGCAGGCTGAAATCCTCCGTCCTGCACAGCACAGAGATCAGTGCTGCCAGAAGCTGGGAGCTCGGCGGTAGTTGTGCCAGTTTCGTGTCACAGCTGAAGCTCCTCCAAGCCATCCTCAGGAACAGAAAGTCAGAAATGTAACGAGTAGAAATCCTGCCTTCTGTGTCTTAGTGTGTGAATATATGTAAACATGTAACATTTAGAATGTTACTTGTGGTTCTGAATTCAAGCCACAGCCCCAAGTGCTGTTTCAGAAGAGAACTGGATGTGGAGAAATGAAGATAAGTGTCAGGCCCCTGTCATTACTCAAGCTAGGTAAATCACCATCCACAAACAAAACGCTGAAATTGCAGCCCTCGTGCTGCTTTGGTTGCCAGGCTCTGTGTGATAAGTGTAAGAGATAAGCGACACAAGTAACAACACTTTGCAGAACTGAGCTGATGCTCCTTCCCATCATCTCAGCCCAAAGCACTGCAGCCATCCCTGCGGACAGGCTGCCCAGAACTGTGGCTCACAGCACAGTGAGCAGATCTGAGGCATGACTGCAAACACTTCTCGTTCATAAAACTCACATAGCCAGGAATGTGACACAGCTACCCAGGAACCAATTTCACCACTTCCCTGTGTTACACATTTCCTTCCTCCTCCCTCCCACAGAACATCACCTGGGTGTAACTCCACACCCACGTGCATGGAGAGGCATCAGCTCATGGAGCTGCACCACATCTTCCTGGGACCTGAGCAGAACAGAGCCAGTCTGATTTATTCCCAGTAACTACAAGAATTTAGGCGTATTAATTTCATTACTCTCAAAGAAAAGAAGTTCAAGTCCAGTTTACAAATGCTAATATCTTCTCCTGTGTTTTGAAAATGTTTTCTCTGCTGCTCAAACATGTTTTGCCTAGTAACAGGCTTAGCAACATAGCAGTATTGCAGCACAGAAAGGCTGTGAAATCCCTCGCTCCTCCAGGGTTTGTGCTGGATTTGGGAAAATACTGAGCACACAAACAAGTGCTGCAGATAATCTTTGGATTTTGAAGTGGTTTCTGTTCCTTCTGTTCCTTCAGGGTGTTATTCTGCAAATACTCTTGGCTGAAATTCATCTTACTACAAAGGGCCAGCCCAAAACACAGGCATCACACAGGCCACAGTTAAGCCCAAACTTGGCATTTTTATGATTCATAGTGACCTGTGTTAGCCTGGGGGATGGAGGGGAATTCCATCTCACATGAAGAAGTGGATAGATACACAAAAAAACACTGCTTTGAAAGCTGCACTGAAAGTGCATTTCCAAGCTTGTTAACAGCACTGGAGGAAATCTTCAGCTTCCAAACAGAAGATTTGGGCATTGTTGCCCCAGGGGCTGAGGCAGAAGCTTTCTCCAATGCCCTCCATGCTCATCTCTCAGGGCAGTGGCTTTGGGCTGAGCCACTGGGCCACACATCATTGAATCACAAGGCTTCTCTTTGTAGCGCTGTGGATCAGCCATCAGAGCAGTGGAAATGCTTCACAGGCAGCATTTGTGACCTCTTTGTACCACGTACAGTGGAAGACAGCTCAGAGGAGACCTCCTTTCCTTGCTGCCACCCTCCTGCTCTTTGTGCTTGCCGAAATCTTCCCGAGGAGCTGGGAACCCACAGCTCTGCCCACGCCAGGGTTTAACAGATGAGATTCTGCACTGTAACTTGAGCAACAGTTTGAGCAATTAAGTGCTCTCATTCGTGTATCGCAGTTCTTTGGGTCAGCACTGAGGTCTCTGAACAATTGTACATCTGTGCTGGAAGGGATCCAACAGGTCTGCAGCACACCAAGGACAGGAATGGAGTTAGCAGCTGCCAGGAAGGTGTGCTGGAGGAGAGCTTGAGCACACACATTTGGGACCAGGTCCCGTGGCTGCTCTGCATATGGATTTTTTTCATTGGCTTCGTTGCAGATTTCTGCTGTGGGACTGAGAGAATATTTCTGCAGAGTTTGGGCTGTTATGCACTCCATGTGTTCGGTGCAGGGAGATCTCTATCAGATTGCTTGTTTCTTTAAAGATATTAAGTGATAAAACACAGAGGACTCCTGACGTTCGCTGTTCCTCTGGAAGATGAGTTAAGCTGGAAACCATAGTGAGGCTGGCACTTGCACCTCAGTCAGCACAGTTTCTGTCTATTAGCTTAACCACAAGGCTTGGGTATCTGGTCTCAAACATCTACTTCCATGACATTGTATAAAGTTTTCATATGGAGAAAGATCTTCTCTTATCAGTGGCTGAAGAAGTCATTTCATGATCA